TTGATATTAAAAGTATTCTTATTAACTTCTATATTTTCTATAAATGAAATTATATCTTTTTTTTTATAAATGAAGAAATGAATGAATAAATTTTTTTATAATTGAAGAAATTACCTCAACAAATTATTTTAGATTTATTTTTTTATAATAAACTGTGATCGTTTGCACAAAAAATAGTTGCATTGAAAAGGTACCCATGACACACCTTTTTACTTGTTTAATATTTTGACATTGTATAAATGTATAAACCGTAGCACCTTTTTTCAAGAACTTTTGAATAATTAACCCACGTATATGTTTTTTTCGGTGTTTCTACTGGCCCTATATGTTGCAGGAACAGCAGCAGGACCATCGATGCGTGTAGCCTGTGCTTTGATGTGTGTGTGTGGGTCCACGGGTTCCACCATGTCCTCCATATCCTGGCACACGGCCACTGGCCCCTGTCAAGTGCAGCCTTTTGTGTACATTTCGCTGGCTTTGCCGCTCTTTCATTCTAGTTCCATTTATTGTTTTTTTTCTCCGTGTTTTTCCATTTCGCTTTTCCATTTTGACACACACATACACACACACGCAGGTCCTAGGCCAATTCGGTTTGTTGCGAGCTATGCTTAAAATTCCAGACACTCCTCGGAGTTGTTTCCAAATTGAAACTTGATTATGTACTCACAGACAGATCACTGCCCCGCCGGCATTATCTTTGCATCCATAGTGCGGGATGGCCCCTCCGTACGTTTGATGTCGCCCCACTTTATCGCGCTCCGTTGCATTGTAAATATTTTGCTTAGCCGCGCTTTGACACCAGCTGACACGCAAACGCCGTCGCAAAATATAAATAAGTCGACGCCCCTGCCGCTTTGATCAACTAAGCTCCTAGTGTACAGAAACATATACGTATATACGGGCCCTCTTTAAAGTCAATTTTAAAATGGGGGACTCGAACTTTGCTGAATTGCGGAGAACTTGCCCTTATGGTAAAGTTATAAAGTCGGACTTTACGCAGTTATAAGCTTTAGTGTAATTTAACGTTGTACTAAATCGTGTGTACTGATATAATTTTTAATTGGTTTTTCAATGTATTCTGTTTTGAATATAGTAATACGTAATCATATTTGTTATTTATCTTTCACAACTTAAAAAACATAAAAGGAAAAAAATTATGTTACAAGTTTTATTGTGCTTATTAGTTTTTGAAGCCTTCAAAGCTATTTAAAGGAACAAATTATTTTTACAATATTATAGAGTTCTTTAAGAATTTCAAATTATTTCCGCATTCATATGAAATGAAATTCCAATTTTTCTGCTCCTGTCTTCTATCGATATTCACTGGAATTTGATATTGTTTTCGCAACTTATAGTCGGCTTGAATACAAACTCGCATTCTAGTGCCAGCACTGTTTGTTTTTCGCTCGCCACTCTGACAGCTGCCTTTCAAATGCAAAGTATATTGGCCTTTTTCCAGAAACGCTTGCGATGCATTTCGTCGATCTAGGACTTGGACTTTTGGCGAAAACATTTGTGCAGGAAATGGGTTTTTAATGAAGCCTTTAACCAGCCAGCTGGCCGGCCTAATAAAGAGTGAATGGCGGTGACCCCACCCACGAGCTCCACCTTTCTAACTGACGACTCGTCGTCAGGTCGTCAAGCGGCCGTCAGAGTTTTTTGGCTTTTCTTTTGTTCGCTTCTTCTTCTTCCCCCCGACTTTCCTCCGATTTTTCCCCCTTTTCGGAGAATTTTATGGGTTCCTGCCGTTTGCTACCGTTCGCTTTTCCCTTTTCAATAAATCGCAAATGGCAATGTGTCCCCTTCGCGGAGCAGGGTCTCTGAAAATAAGAAGGCGAATCCTTGACGGGCCAAGTTTATGCAAAGTAGCTTTTAATATGTTTACGACTAAACATTTTTCGGCTGCTGCCGGTTTCGCATCAGGTTAATGTCTACTCTTCGTCTCGCTTCAGCCGTCACTCGTCGACCTTCTCCTTTTCCTCCCCCTCCCACTCCCACTCCCTTCTGTCCTTTTCCCCTTTATTGCACAATTTTTTAATAATTTCTGCCCTTTTAAAGGCAGAAATATTAAACTTTACTGCTGCGGCCGCACATTTCACTGGGTGGCGCAGCCATTTGATTGTAATTTATTTCATCGTAGCCAACTCAAAGTTGAAGTGGCTCTCGCATTAAAATGGAGCGCTGGCGAAAATTAAATGTTAATGGAGTCGGATGTAGCAGCACCAAAAATATATATCTTGTACACTTGAAGGTACACAATTTACCCCGCAAGCGTTGACAGTTCCATTACCATTTGCGAAACTTCCACAAATTTGGTTGTTTTTTGAAATTAATTAACATTTAAGCTGCTTAAAAGTTTCTGGGTCAGTACCGAATTTAATACAAAACAATTCTTAGGCTGGATAGAAACAGACTTAGGCTAAGCAGGCGTCACAACTTTTGTCCGCCGGAAAGTGGGATCTGTTGGGGATTTTTTTTTGCGAGGCGACCAACGCGGCGTATGCGTAATTCGCCGCTGGTCAAACACATGGCTGGCAATTGTTTAATTTATGCCGCAGCACGTTGGACGCTGAGCTCATTTGATGGCTGCAGGGGATTAATGCAGCTCACCGACTGACTCGTAAAACTCGGCTCATTGCCGCAGCCAACGCCCAAATGTAGGCAATAAAAAATTTTAAACCCTAAATTATGCACAGTGAGCGAGAGGAACCGGGCCCAAGGGTCTGTGCATTAGATTTGCGACCCAACAGGCAGCCAGCAAAGTTTCAAACATTGTTCGCATAATATAGGAAAAGTTGCACATAAAGCCACTCGTGGAGTGGGGAATGGAGGATGCGTATAAAGACGGAGCTGGAGAGCTGGAGAGCGGAACGTGCCACTTTGCCACTTGATGATGAATGAAACACCTCGGGCATGTGTGTGCCTCGTTGACTGTGGTTTATATTTGGGTTATAGCATGGGTTAAGGTCTCGCCCGCTCTCTGCTTTTTTATGGGGCTCACTACTTTGAGCCACGGCTTCAGTTGAAACGTTAATCTTATTTGCCAGAGGGAGAACATTTGCACAGAAAAAGAAACCATTGAGTTTCGTATCCATTGAGATGTTTCCTTTAAGTTGATGATATTTTATTTGATATAATGAGACATAAGTCTAAATTACCATTCCATTTCAAAAGAGTTGAATCATGTAGGTGGATAGTAGGTATTATAAAAAGTATTTATATAACAATTGTCAATATATTTTTTTAAGTGTTCTTGCGTGTGCGTAAATAAAAGTAACAAATGTCGCCCAGAAAAACTTAGCGCCAAAGGCGCATATTTTGTCAACTAAAAGCATGCCGGGGATTTGCCCATCTCCTAGTAAAATCGAGCCAAGAAACCGTTTCCCAGAACTCGTGTGAGTTTCTGTGTGTGTGTGTGTGTGTGTGTGTTGGCCAAGTTTTGGTGCGTGAATTGAATGCAAAACTCGAAAGTTAAATATTGCACGCTCCGTAGGCAGGCAGCTCTGCTTATTTTTTTGTCAGTCTCTTAAATTTAATTAAAGAGACAGCCGGAGCAAATGCGATTACATCACAGAAAACTTTCAACTTTGGGCCAAAGGAGCGAGGAGGGGAACGAGGGCCAAAGAACCAGAGAACTGCCAAAAGTGATTTGCACAGTTTGAAGGATTAGCAGGGAGCAGCTTAGGGGCCACATCCTCATCGTGTCCCAAACCTACCAGACAATCTGGATCTGCGCCTGCAGCTGTCACTGGCTCACATAAATCTAAACATTCTGATGTTCTACACGCTGGCTGGCATGTCAAAAGCCGCCCGCAGCCTGCGACTCAGGTGAGTGACTACCTGTCCAACCCATCGCCTCATCCCTCTCCTTCAGATCTTGGTGGATGGATGGAACTGGATGGGAGAGGGGGTTAGCCCGGCGCTCTGGAACAACATATCTTTGCATACTTGATGGCGCATAATGGTGCAAAAAATTGTTTACATGCATAGAGCAACACAGAATGTTTTGCATTTACATAATTTTTGACTTTTCAAGTCGCAGCGCATTTTTCGTAATTTTTTCCATGTTGGGCTGTGCAATTTTTTGAACCGCAAAATAATGGAAAAATTTCGTGGAATGAATTATACCGCCGCGTCTGCCAATCAAATATGCATGGAAATTTTCCAGGTAAAAGTGAAATCTATCCACAGCCAGACGAAATTAGAACTACATAACAAAAGCCATCGGTATCGTGAAATTTTGCAAAGTCATTTTAGGCTCATTAAATAAGTTTTATTTATTTTGCCAAATATATATGCACTGGTTTTTATTGAAATATATTTACTTTTGCATTTTCTGATTCACAGATTTTCATCTAATTATTTCTTCTTTTTTATTTCTGCAGATATATTTTGCTAGTTGCATTATCCAAAAACTTTTCTAAGAACTACCTGTGATTTGGTTCGCTCAAAGTTTCGCTGCATGTTTCGTGGCTTATAAAAGTAGATAAGCATATTTTACTAACTTATATTTTTCTGCTTTTGTTAACAAAGCTCCACGAATAATTGCTTATTATATTACCTCACTTTGTATTCAACAGCTTTTTTTATTTTGCTTAAGCCTTATTAGTTAGGTAATTAATTAAATAACATTTTTTTAATTATTATGTTTCCCGCAAAATGCATTTTCTTTTAATTGCGTTTTCATCTTATTATTTTGTGTTGCAGATCGACCCTCTTTTATTTAATTACCTGTGGCTTTCAAACTAATTACAAGTTTGTCTTTCATTAAAAAATTTCATTAAATTTGAATGAATTGAAATTATTAAATAGGTTCTTTTTTAAGCCTTTAGGTTTTTGCAATTCATTATCGTACCATCACATTGACTTCTGAAAATTTTATTGTACTCTTTTCTATTTGATTATTCACTTGTTTTATTTTATTTTTGCAGCATGTGTACTCTTATTCAATATTCATATCTGGTTAAGATCAGCTAATGGAATTTTTTCTTTTGACTTACATACATGTATTTTTTGCTCCTCTTCCAAAAGCCAAAAAAGAGCTGCTTTCAATTTTCCTTTATGGGGTTTTTTGTCAAATATTCGCTGGCTTTTGCTAGCATTGGCATTAATTGAAAATGCCGCCAAAACTTTGTTTGCACCAAGCTCATGCTTCACACGCGCGCTGATAAGAGCGTTTAAAGTTGGCCAAAACGCACACACCCGCTGACGCGCACACAGGGACACCGCACACACACACAAGCTGGTTGGGCTCACCCATACAGAGGCAGGAGTGGCAAACGCGAGTCAGTCGCCTGGCAGTTGGGCTGATGCCATTGGCAAGATGCGAAAGTACGTCCAGTTGCGCGCTGTGCCATCGACAAACTGATGATAAACGAAAACTGTTTATCAGCAGCAAGCGTCCGCTGCCGCCGTCGGCAGAGGCAGAGGCAGCAGCAGCGGCCGCGGCAGAGCTACGTCATAGCCAAGGCGCGAAGGTGGCTTCGCTGGTTCCTGGCCAACACGAAGTCCCGTTATGGCGCTCTCTTAGCCCTGTGGAGACTTTCTCTCTGCCGAAGAGCGAGCCGTTCGCAACTCTCCCACTCTCTCTTATCCTTCTTATCAGTTGTTGGGATAGGCTCGACGGCCAACTGATAGGCGCTTCTGACCATGTATCCTTGACGGCCTCAGCGACAGGTATTCTCACCCCATTTTCCCTTCTATAGTTTTGATAAGTTAAACAGTATATAAAGCCAAAACATTTTTGTGATATCGTGTATCTATTTCACCATTACTTAACGACCTTAGCAACAAATAATTTTACCCATCTCCTCAATTTTCTTGCGGCCAAAAAATTTTTTTGAATTTTTATTCCATTTGTTTGACAAGTTATGATTGCAGAATTTCTTTTTTATTTTTTTATTGGAATCTTTGTTTAAATACAAATTCTTCAACCGCTGGAAAAAATCTTTGATCTAATAAGCTTAGTATTCAATGCTATTATTTCGCAAAATTAAAAAAACAAATAAAAGTTGTGGTCTCTCCAAATAAGTCAAAATTACCGACACAATGGTTCGTAGTATTGTCCAATTGCCAACTCTGTCACATATGGTAAAAGTAAAACATTGTACAAATAAAAAATTTGCACGAGCAACAAGTACAATTTCATAAACTTCCACAAACAAACAAACCATAAATGCTGGCACAAATTTGCGTGATAGAAAAAAATACAAAAAGTTAGCGAGAATAAATAAACTAAATTGTCTATTTGTCTAAAAGAAATCTCCGCTCGTTAGTGAATTTAAAATACCCACTTTCTAATTGAGTTGGACTTTCGCACTGTATTTGGCTTCCGTTTTTAGTTTCTCTGCTCTGCAGTTCCTCCTCCGTTTTAATGGCCAATAACTAATTCATAATTATGCATTTCCCATTTTTCTCTTTTATCTCTCGCTGTGTTTCGTTTATTTGGAATTTTCTGGCTCTTCGCCGCAATTTCTCATAATGCTTGCCAAAAATATTCAGCGCAAAGAAGAAAAATAGTTTTTATTTTTCGAGAGCACGCTTCTCTGTCCGCTGTCGATGATTAATCAATTATGGGAAACTGTCAGAATCGCAAACAGAAATTTGCGGGAAAAAAAATGTAATCAAAATTTCAGCGCCGGCAGATCCAATAACAAATCGAGGGCCAAGCCAAATAATGAATTTATTTGCCGCTTTTCATCTGTTCAATATCAAACGTCCGTCTGCCCAGCTTTTGCTTAACCGATTTCACGCTGGCTCATTGGCCATTAAAAAAGGCTTTGACATGAATGGAACGAGACAGCATGCCGTTAGAGGGAAAGCGGAAAAGCGTTGCCCGATGATGGAAGCTGACCATTTAAAATATGCATAATCACCTGTCTCGCATCTGAGGGCAAAGAGCAGGCAGCGAAAATTTAATTTGTTGTAATTTGCTGCACTGACAGTGACGATGGCGAGCACTAATAATACGGGAAAAGCTCCGTGGAAAATGTGCACAGTACGTTGAGGAGGAAAATGGACAGCGAGGGGATGCCAACCATTCTTGTTTCAGACAAATTAAAATGCACTTAGCGCACACCTAAAAATAAGGGGGCGGTGCAAAAAAAAAGTGGGCTAAAAGTTGGCAGCCAACTTTCCCAGCCTGCGGTTATTCCGGGGGGCTTGGAAAATATGGAAAATACGCCGGAGTGGGTTACGTGACAGCTTAAGCGTTGTCCCGGCAACAACTTGACATATTTTCTTATTGAGTTTAGCAAGATTCGAGGAAAACGCCGGAGCAGACAGATTTCTACTTTAAGGGGGAACCCCGCAGTGCCTGGGGGGTGACAATCTGCAAATCTTTTCCAGAAAAAAGAACACCTGTGAAAGCTCATTATGTCCAAGGTAAATGGGAAGTTAGTGCGGCAGACCACTTTGAACCTTAAATTCTCATTGTGTGAATATTAATAATAATCAGTTCTAATAAACAATAAAGATTCCCTTTATCTCCGGCTTGAAGACAACTTTACTTTATTCGCATTTAAATGTTTCTCCATTGTCCTCGGCACTCAAATTGGGTTGTGGATGGGGCGAAAGTAAGCCAGTCAATGGCATTATTGTCCCCGGCTTGGCTGCTGGGTACAGTAAACAATGCTTAGGAGGGAGCCACCCACCATTGATGATCCTTGTTTATGCATGCAAATCGTGAGAGTTTTCCCCGATTCAGTTTGTTTAGCAGAAGCATTAACCGTGATTCGTTCAATATGCATTCGAGGATATAACAAGTTGTGTATCTCGTAGGCATTAGCCACTGTGGACCGTAATTGCCTTGGAAAATTGAATTTCCACGGAGACAGCGTCGGCTTGACAACACTGTGGTCATCTAGCCCTCATCCAGCGACAGTCCCTGCCTTCTGTCCTGGCATTTGGATTAATCAGCAGACTTGACATTTAATTGTTGCTCTCACTGGGAGCCTTTCGAAAGGGGGCAGTGGGGGTCATCAAGTGCCCGGCCGGGTAGTTCATCATTTGCGGGCTCCATGGGCGGATCCAGAATCATATTACGGGTGGGGTAAACAGGCGGAGTTGGCTAAAGACATCTTAGACACTGCGTTTTAGCAAATAAAACGTTTTACAAAGTTGCACTACAAGTCTTCATGACCACAAACTCACAAATTCTAAGTCATTTGTAACATCATTTGTAGTTCATATAGTTTTTGCAGACATAATGTGGTTTGTTTGTAAATTACAAAATAATGTCAAATCTGAAAGCTAATTAATTTAATGTCATGGAAAAGAAAACTGATTTATAACATGTTTTGGGTAACAAAGCAATGCCTAACCTGAAATATCTTTCAGGTTTTTCATTTTTTTAAAGGATAAGATAATATACATAATGTACCTATGTTTAAATTTTAAGTAAAGGACCTATCTAGCTGTCCGGTAATAATTAATTCAAATGCGGCAAATAATGTGTAATTTTGTTTCCAGTGTCAATGTGTGCTTTTGAGAAGCAGTTGGATGATGGGTTTGGGTATTTGGCATAGACCTTTAAATGCATTCTGTGTGCGCATGTTAATTGCATGGGACTGGGGCAACGACAGCAGCCCGCAGCAACATCTTTCAATTTGTCTTTTACAATGTGATTTATATGCTAACAGGGAGTGGCCAATTTGTTGTACTCGCAGTTCGAGTTGTTGCCCTCGCCTTCAAGTTAAAGGCATTTTTTTGTTTTTGTGTTGGTCGTGTGTTTTGTTTTTTGTTTTTCGTGTGCGATGGCAGGAGTGTTTGTTTGTTCGACTGCTGCGTGTGCATGCAAATGACTTGTCAGCTGACAACGGCAACAAGCAAAATTGCTGACCATGTAGCCAAGTGTACGAGTGCGGGCGATTGGATGTGTGTGTGTGTGTGCTGCGGAGTGTGTGTAGATGTGGTTGTGGATGTGCCTCTGTGGGAATTGTGTATCTTGCCAAACCAAAAATTTGCACATAAAGTATCCCTGACAGCAAAGTTTTCACTTGCAAAACTTGCACGCAACAAGGCTTCCCACCCATTCCCGCACAACTTTTCCTCTGTTTTTGCGGTTTTACTTGCAAGTGCGTTGAAATAAATTTGACTTAGGAAACGAGCAAACAATAGCAACAACAAGACTCAATTACACACACTGAACGAACGAACGGCACTTTAAGGGACACTTCGACCATAATTTCACACTATACGCCTCACCAACTCTGTTGTTGACAATTTAAATAGACTTTTCTTGCATTTAAGCCGCTTTGATGTATGTATGCTCTCTCTTGTTGGCACCGTTGTTTATTTGTTTATTGATTTTCACCATTTCGCAGTGCCTGCATCGCTCAGCATTTTATCGACATCCCCGGCAAGCGAAATAATCAACATTTTTTCTGCCATTTTCCCTGTCACTTGGCTTTGTCTCTCCGGCTGTGTGTATTTTGTGGTGTGCCTGCGGTCGGTATGCAATTGAAGGTGACACTGAAATTTGCATAATTCTGTTGTCACATGTCGCATACGCCATGTATGATAGCCACAAAGGGCAATCGAGAAAAATTTAAATTGCCGCTCTTGCGTTGAGATCTTCAGAGGTCCAGCATCGACCTTTTAAATATTGAAATTGGTTAAGCCTCCATTGTGCAGGAAAATTAATTAAACGATCTGATGAATGTTAATTAGTTAATAATTGTGATTTTAATTCACGAGCTTTCTGAGCGATGAATAATAACACAAATTGCGGAAAAAGTCTTTAAGCGTTCAGTGGAAAAGTAAGAACTTAAATTATGTAAGACTTAAGCTATAAATGTATATTACAAGTTATGACCCTGTGTAAATAAATACATATTAAGATAAATACAGTTTAAATAAAAATGGAACCATTGCAACAGTTTTTAAATCAACTGTAGAAGTAAAGTTAAACTTAATCAATTAAAACCTTATCAAAGTGGATTATTTAAACCCCATTAAATCACAAATGTCGTATTACCAATGGCACTTAATATATTGTGATGTAATAGAAATAAACTGTTTTGGAATCATTTCCGTTATATATTGAACAACTACCCAAATACTTATTTAAGTACGAAATGTACGGAATTTATTATCATTTCAATTACAGATATTTAAATACCGATAAACTAAATGTTATTTAACAAGTTTTTGTAACGTTCTCTCCTATTGAAAATGGCGTTGTCAGTTTTCATTTGAAAATGACTTTGCAGCTTATATCCTTGATTTAATCTCCTTTCAGTCGGCTCATCTCGTTCTCAAAATGTGTATTTATCCCCAAGTAGATATTTGAGCCATGACTTTAACGGCTTTTTAAAGCCAAACTCCCCCGGACAATCCCTTTCATTTGACTTTTGCTGACTCAACAGTTCAATTGAATTTTATGTTGTTGCTTGTCGCCTTTTGACTATGAAATCTAGATTACAACTTTTGGCAACAACTTGTGGCGAACGTAATTACAAGCTGCCAAATGACAACCATAACATTAACAACAAAAACAAAAACAACAACAAAAACAACAACAACTACAGACTGCCAGAGTGACTGACAGAAGAGTGGCAATGTCCTGGCAACGCTCGTCTTTGTCGTCCTCATAATGAAGCCATAAATTTCAAAAGCAAAGAGATTAGCGAAAGTGGTCGCCGTCTGCCTTCCTCGTCGAATGCCTTTCAAGTGTGTATTTATTTATGTTGCACGAATTTTAAAGCCATTATTCAGATGTCAACTTAAAGCTGAAGTGGAGCGTGCGACGAAGCAACTATGGCAAAAGTTAATGCACTTTCGATGCGGACCGGACCTTGGAGTTGAGTGAAATGGCTGATGCGAGCATTTATTATTTACACTTGTAAATAAATATATATGTGCGAGTGTTTATGTTGGAGGGGGCCTGGTCACTTAGCAGCGGGAATTGCACATACATTCGCATTTACACTCCAGTTAACACCCCAGGGACATTGGCAGTGCCACTAAGTACACAGCGAAATAAACCTATGAAAAATGATTGTACTTTCACCGCAATGGCTTTAATACTTGACTATTTGCAGAAACATTAATAAAGGTTGGAGAATTAAGTAAAATAATATTGAATATACCAAAGAGTATTTATATAAAAGATTAAAAACCACTTTCACTGAATTTACCATATCTAATATATGTCGGGTCATAAATTATGGTAGTCAGTGTATAAGGAATCAAATCAAGTGTAACGATTCTTCTCGCGGCACTCTAACGATTATGCGTTAGTGCGCTTTAGTCTACCTTTTCACCAGGTGTTCAGAATAGTTCGGTGTGAACATCTTGCGTGAGGTTATAGGTTTGGAAAAGGGTTACGCACTAGGCGATTGTCGTGCGTGTATGCTTGAGCCACTGCGATAGACAGAGATGCCAGTATGTGCACTAAAACATTGGTGACAGTGCAGTTTTTGGAGATTCTAGAGCAGTCTATAACAGGCAGTCGTGCGCTTAAGTTTATTCGCCATCTACAACCGTCTAAAGTTATCAAAAGACATGGACAAGGAGAACCTTAACCCGACATCAGAAGTGGGATCAGTGCCAACTCCTGCATTTTCTGAAGACCAGTGGCGTGCTATTGTGGAACTACAAAATCGAAATTTCGTCGAAATGTGCAAAGTCATGCAAGCGTCTGGGCGTCCACAAAATCCCGTGGTTTTGCCAAAATTCAATCCAGATTTAACTGGGACTGATGCGACTCAATGGTGTGCAACTGCAAGCATTATTATGGACGAACAGAAGATTGATGGCAGCGCACTTATCATGCTGTTAAGTAGTTGCATGCAGGGTAGTGCTTCGGCGTGGCTTGCACAGGTCTGCTATCCAGGCATCAATTGGGAGCAGTTTAAAGAACTATTTATTCAGCGTTTTGAAATTAAAGAAACGCCGGCAGCTATGTTTTTGAATCTGCTCAATAGTCGTCCAGCCCACAACGAGTGCCTTGCAGTGTACGCAAGCCGTATGGTGACGTCATTGACCACAAAATGGCGAAATATGAGCACCGAAGAAATTGCTGTGTCATCGGTACTTGCGCATATGGCCAATTTTGACCACCGTTTGCAGCGCATGGTGTTTTCGTCAAATGTACAAACAAGAAGTCAACTACAAATGGAACTGAAAGCATTTACATTTGATAAAAAGCGGAATGCAGGATGTACCGATGGCAATAGCGGTGACTGCAAACGAGCTAAAATTGTGTGTCACTTATGCAAGGAAACAGGACATAAAATGGCGGAGTGTAAATTCAAACGGTCTGGATCGGAAGACAAACAGCGTCGTGACTTGCAGAATATAACCTGTTACCGGTGTGGACAACTTGGGCATCTTGCGAATCGGTGCACAAACAATTCCAATAAATCTGGAGCAGTTAGTGAGAAGCAATAAAATCAATGTCTTGTGCCTGAACCAAAAGGACTTTTGTCATACCAAGGTGAGATCTTTCCGATTTGCTTTGACTCTGGAACGGAACGTTCGTTAATTCGAAGAAGCGTTGCCGATAAACAAGCTTTTTAATAATGTTGTTGTAATACGAGGTAATGGTGGTCCTCATATAATAAAGTATTTTAGTAAAACTACTTCCCTTCAGAGTCTAGATACCATTCATATCAATAGAGAACTTTGGCAGGAGTACAATCAGTTAAACAGTTCCGCCCTTATTTGGTTGGTCCATACCGCACCCTATAATAGCTGATCAGGGTAGATGTTTTACTACGACAGGAAGAAGCCGTGCGAACGGGCAAGTTGAACGTGTGATGAGCACACTTAAAAATTTATTGTCAGCAGTTGAGTCAAGTCATCGATCTTGGCAAGATGCTCTAGGTGAGGTACAACTTGCTTTGAATTGCACAGTTAGTAGTACAACCAACGCAAGTCCCCTAGAGTTGCTCGTCAGCAAAGAGACTTGATTTCACCGTATGATACAGATATGGAAATAAATAAAGTAAATGCTAGAGATAGGGCAATTTTGAACGACATAAAATTGGAGATTTTGTTTTACTGAAAAACGAAGAACGCCATCAAACAAAGTTGGATGCAAAGTTTAAAGTACCATTTTGGTTAGTGAAGTACTAGAAGGAGATAGATATGTCTTAAAGTCATTGCATAATAAGTAAGAGAACCTACAAATATTGTCATGAAGATTTGAGAAAGATGCCTGATGGTTATGTTCCGAGTGAATTGGAGTACCCGCCTGAGACTTGTTGAAATTGTTATAATATATCCGTGTGAGAGGATATGTTATGTGAAGATATCCGTGTGAGAGGATATGTTATGTGAAGATATCCGTGTGAGAGGATATGTTGTAATGGAGTTGCAATAGACTTCGATAAGAAAATGTTTGTGAATGGCGGAAGACCATAGTGATGGTGTTTGAGAATTCGAATGGAAATAACCTGGCGAATGTAAAGCTTATGCGTTGTTGTTGTATGACAATATTTAATTGAAATGTATGGTTTGAAGATATGGTTTTGAGATTTGAGATAACTGCGTTATTGGGCAAGCACAAGTGAAAAACGAAAGTTGGAACATGGCGTGTGGCGCTCTTGACGGAACTATGCTCTTAATCAAAAGGAAATCATAGTCGGAATAACCAGAGTCGAATTTTGAATTGCTGAGATGCAAATGAATGAAATGTTAAAATTAATCTGATTATGCAATGATAGTAAGAATTGAAAATTATTTGAATCGTTGAGATAGATGAAAATAAAGAAAGATTTTGAAATAAATGGAAAATGTGTAAGACTACAGTACACGAGGACGTGTAAGTGTCAGAATGGCCGTGTCGGGTCATAAATTATGGTAGTCAGTGTATAAGGAATCAAATCAAGTGTAACGATTCTTCTCGCGGCACTCTAACGATTATGCGTTAGTGCGCTTTAGTCTACCTTTTCACCAGGTGTTCAGAATAGTTCGGTGTGAACATCTTGCGTGAGGTTATAGGTTTGGAAAAGGGTTACGCACTAGGCGATTGTCGTGCGTGTATGCTTGAGCCACTGCGATAGACAGAGATGCCAGTATGTGCACTAAAACATTGGTGACAGTGCAGTTTTTGGAGATTCTAGAGCAGTCTATAACAGGCAGTCGTGCGCTTAAGTTTATTCGCCATCTACAACCGTCTAAAGTTATCAAAAGACATGGACAAGGAGAACCTTAACCCGACATATATATAAAGTTTAAGATATGTATATGTTTAAAAATTGATTAACAAAGAATGCAGCTGTTTATTAATATTTCAAAATGTATGACAGTAACATTGATTTTAAAATAAAAATAAAGGAACGAGCTAAGCTTGTAAAACTTGTATTTAAAAAATATCATTCAGTTATTTACTATTTTTCTAAATGTATCTTGAAGTCGAAGAAACTACGCAGTTTTATGAATGCTGCGTTGCACTTTTCCGCTTCGCACATGTAGATGTAGTGGCACTCTAGTGCAGTCTATATAGATTATATACTTGGATTTGTGAAGCAAATTTGTATTTATGTTGATGGCCAGGCACCCATGACACTCGCTTTTGCCACTGGGTTGTCTTTTCCCGGGTCTTTTGCCTCCTGACTCCCGATCCTTGATTCCTGACTCCCAGCACATTATGTGCCCCATTTAATGTCTATGTGTTGCACACCCCCACCCATACCCGCACACACGGCACACTCGCACATACTCTCGCACACACTTACACGCCCAGTGAACGTCAAGTGGCAATTTACATTAGTTTTATTGTATACGAAATTAGCAGCATTTAGCAGTGGCTGTAGAAGCCGGCAAAACTTTTGCCTTTCGGCTCCATTCACATCCCCTTCCCCCAAACCCCCAACCCCCCGTTCCTCCCTAGAAGCTCCTGCTTCTCATCCGCAGTCAAGGGTTTTGTACGTTAGATTTGTTTGCTCGTATGGCTGCACTGTCGCACTTGGCATATCAATTTTACCGCCCAGCCACCTCCTCCCAAGGCATTTCAAGGTAGGAAATCGATTTTGTTAATGAAAACGAAGGCGAGCTTCAAGGGAAAAGGTTACCCAGGGGATCGGGTGTCGATTGGAGCGAATGCTTGATATTTGTTGGTAAGAAACAATGGCCAATCTGCGTGATAATGGCATTCCCGACGGTTTACTATGCAGCCTTCGACTTGCTGTTTTCTAACGAGGTTTCCATTTCGATTTGCCTTCAAGTATGCAACAAGAATTGACTGCTGTGCATCTCCATAAAGGTAGGGTTTTCATTTCTATAGTAAAGTTTTTTCTTTCTTTAGTTTTACTATTCATTTTATTCTAAAGTTTCAACAAAGCCAATACAAAGACCTGTTAGTTGGTGTATTTAGTTTTTATTGTTTTGATTCTTTTTTCATAACAAAGTCCACCTTAAAAAGATTCAACACTAACATGAATTTATGAAAACAATTTAAGGTTGACTTTCTGCTTTAGCAACGAAATAACGATTGCGGAAAAAACCAGTAACCTAAAATTTAAAAACCTAATGGAAGCTGCCTTCAAATAAATATCTAAGATATATGGCCAATTCCACATGGATCTAGATTAGATGGCACTCGTTGACCATGACCATATCGTCCTCGACTATTTCGCCATTGCGATTGGCGTGGTGTTCGTGGTGAATGGGGCAGCTGACAATGAGCTCATCCTTAGGAGCGAACAGCTCCATCTTTTGTGAATCCTTCTTGGCCTTCTTGGTTAGCCCCTTGTCCTTGCTGCCCTTCTGCTTGTTCTTTCCCAGCTCCAATTCCAGCTCGAGGTGATCCCCCAACAGGTGTTCGATGACATCGGGATTGTTGCGCAATGCCAGATCCATGGCCCCGTCAAGGAATTGATATAAAGGCGAGCTAACGCGATGTTGCGGCTCCTTTGGCTCCTTTAGCGGTTCCACAAGGATACTTCCCTCGAAGGGAGATAGCTGCTGTTGCTGCTGCTGCAGTAGTTGTTGCAGCATGTAGAGCATCGGTGGCAAAGCCGGCGAGGATTTGTGCTTGTGGTGGTGCTTGCTCAACGGACCTGAATTATGGACACCACGCGGAGTGTTCTCCGCTGCATTCAGCAGTAGCACTTCGGCCAATTCCGGTGGCAGAACATCCGGTCCAAAGTTGAGCTCCTGCTGCACGCTCTCAATCATCATGTTGGGTGCCAGCAGCTCGAACTCCTTCAGCTCGTGCTTGCCATCCGGCGAGACCAGCTTGTTGTAGTACACATAAGGGTTAACTGGCTGCGGGGTGGTGGTGGTGGCAGCTACCACTTCCCCTCCCTGGCGACGCTTGTGGTGCAACTGTCGCGGCTGCACATTCTCGTCCATCAAACCACCCATTCGCCTCTTGGGACGGCGCAGCCCCATCAGATCCTCCACCAACTGGATTTTCCCGGCATCCAACGGCGAGGATGTGGATTTCACAGGAGCTGAAGAGCTGGTGGTGGTGGTGGTGGTGCAGGCATCCGTGGTTTTCACATTCACCACAGTCGTCTGCTTCGGTCCAGCTGTAATCTTCTGCTTTGAAGATGTGGTTGAAGTGATGCCAGTTGTTGTGCCATTGGTTCGTGCAAACACCACGGTGGCCTTTCCGCTCAGCGGTGCATCGGTGGCACTGGCAGTGGAGCCACTGGAATCACTTTCGGAATTGTTCTGAGAACGCTTCATCCGCAGGCTGTGGGTCAACCCCGGTTGCATCATCACCAACATCATCATCATCAGGGCAGCTAAACCCCACAATCAAGATAATAATTCAAGGGAATTAGTAGTTATTCACACAGAAATAATTTACAGAACAATGCTTCCGAAATATTTGCTTAGTATTCAACTACCCAATACTCACAGCTAAAGATCAGCAAAAAGTTCATCTTGTAGTTCTTGGTTTGCAGCGCTGCAAGAGACAGGTGAATTTGAAAGGTTAACCGAAAAGTGACCACAATTATTTTAGTTGCAATATTTTTTGCTAGCTTTGCTTGTTCTCTTTGTTTTTTGTTTTTTCCCAAAGGAATAGTTACAATTTGAACTTACTTTATTTGATTGGAGTGGGTTTTATGTGTTCTCGACACAAAGTTTGTACTGAAAATGATTCGAAATGCTGCCTGCCTCATGGCGAGGCTTTGACAGACAGCTTGGTAGCTGGTAAAAGGTTACTGAGAGCTAAAAAAAATCGAATTTCAATATTTCTGTGATGGGATTTTTCCATACACCGACCAAACACTCACACAAACTCCCATCTGTGGCGACCTTTTCAAGTGCTGCAAATGGCAGCAACAAAAAAAAAAAAAAAAAAAAAACCGCGCACCCACAAAAAAGTTTGTTTCGTGAGCCGCAAACAAAAGCAAACAGTGGAAAAAGTTTAGCTTATAAATTTCCAATCAATTTTTCGTGCAAAAATCAAGCGCCCTTACACACACACACACATGTAAACGCACACTCACGCACTCAAGTGTTCGTACATATATGCGGTGCAAGTGTGTGAGTAGCTATTACTTGATTAATAAATATTAGCAGCAAAAATTGGAAAATTCGCAGCGAAGCGTAAAAATGCAAACACCCAAACGGAAATGCGATACATTTGCGAAATGGCAGAAGCATTTTCCAAAATACGCATTCTCTTCCACGCACATGAACACGCACACAGACATACCCATTTTCTCGGTCTAATTTTTATACCCTCTTATTATAAAATCTAAGGGGATATAAAGCTTTAGTTTGACTGATTCACTACTGATTTATTTAAAAAGTCAGAGCTCTTCGTAAAAACACGTTTATTAAAATTTAAGGTTATACAGTTATTTTTTTACTCTACTACAAGATTGAACAACAAATTATTTCGGCTTTAAAAAAACATACTCTGTAATTTAATCTTATAAAAAATTTGGTAAGAAATATTATGAATCTATGTTTACATTCTCTTAAGTGCCACAAAGAAATTTAGTTTACTTAAAAGGGTATTTATATCTCGATTACCATATTTCTTAAAATAAAACTTGTACTTTCTTCTGCCGACGCGTCGGCTTGAGGCATTAATAATGTAAAGTGCGTGCGTCAAATGTAAATTCCTGGCTGGCAGCTCACGCGATTTCATAAACTTGCGACATTTTCAACAAACAATTCTTTTCGCCGTCTACATGTCTTCGATATGGGCTCCCTTTAAGGCGACTTAACGCTCAGGTGGGCGTGGAACTTCAGGGGGGAAATCGGTGAAGAGGAAGGGGGAGTCGAGGAGGAGGCACTTTTGCTTATCAGCTTAAATGTAAATGCCAAGCGAATGCAGTCGATGGGGCAAAGGGGGCGTGGCTGAGCAGCAGCTGTTGCTGCATTGGGGATTTGCACATTTATACTCGCATATTGCTCCACATCCAACCACCCCTTCCCACCGAATTTTTTTTGTTGTCTCGCTCTTTTTTATTTGCCAAGTTGATTTTTCGAGTGTATTGAATAAAAGTCGATTTTCCCCTACTGGATTTGCGCGCGTTCGACAAGCGGCTTAAATACGTACAGTTAATACTTATATCCCCTTTGCATATGTCTGAGTGTCGGGGGCGAATCGCTTGAGTGTGTGTGCGTGCTCTTGCTTTGATGTCTGCGTGTGCGTGTGTGTGCCATGGGTTAAGGTCGCGGCTGATTAGGGGTCCAAAAACCCTGCGCCGCAGTGCATCATCTCCGTGGGATTTACACGCAGACACTCGGGGCTCCCAAGACGATCCACTATAATTGGCAGCGAAAATCACGCATACGCCGGGTGGGTCAAGTGGAGAAAGTCGGTTCTAGCAGTTGCTTTCACAGCGCTTTGATCTTGGCCGGAATCAGAGATAGCTACTCTTATTAAATGTTTCCCTTTCGATTTGTTTCGGCGGAGAAAGCGACTCTCAACCGTCTGGCTTTGTAAACTTTCATTAGTTGCCTCGTTAATATTCCAATTGTTGACACACAAAGGAGGAGGGCGGTGAGGGATGACGACGGTGGTTGGCTTAACCTGTGTATAAAGGAATTTAATTAATAACGTCCTTCGTCCTTTTGCGTGTGCAGCGCGGCGTAAACTTAATTAAATGCGCAAGTGGCAAGTGGCAAGTAGCGAGGGGCAAGGTGCCAAATGACAAGTGGAGATGCAGGAACAGCATCGCGGAGAAACCCGAGTTGAAGGTAAAGTTGAAGGTAACACCTGGTCTGTCTGTAGCAAAAAAAAAAAAGCTGTGCCCCCGCATATGGCAAAAAAATTATATTGGCGCAAACGCTACTTTTACGGCTTTTACGGTTAATAGTGAAGAATGGTGCAACAAAAGCCAAAATGATGGCAGACGCTTAGACAAAAACCAGATGGATATGGGAATTGGGGGAGTGGCAAGTTCATAGAGATGGTCGTAAAACAACGAGTTGTGGTTCAGCGATTTTATCGCGATTTCATGTTTACGAGCTTAGTGCGCCGGGCTTATAACCTGTAACTGGGGGCAAAGTTTATTAAGTTTATGCCAAGTGTTTTGAATATGCAAAACCGCTAAGGTTGATTATCTGGGATGCTCAAAGGCTACGAGAGTTTGGCGCATTTATCTCTAAGCTGTTTATTGCTATTTAGGTTGGGTTGGCAGTCAAAATGCAAATGTGTACATTTTTTTGGTCAGATTTCTAAATGGTTTACTCGTATTTGTTTTTTTTAATTCGGGGAAGATCTATTTCTTGACCCCTGCATATAATATTTTTCTTTATTCATTTCGAAATCTTGCCATTTTCTCTGAGTGCAAAAGAGTTTTAAATTTGATTTGCAAGCAAACTATAAAATGCACTGGCATTTTCGACAGGTTTTACTGCACACGTTTGACAGACGACAAAGGAGTTACGCCCACTCCCCGAATTCTAAATCAATTTCATTCGAACGCCTTTCGCCTGCCATTGATTTATGGCCCACGTCCAAACGTCGCCTAAGTGGAAAAGCCGAGCCGAACCGAAAAGAGGCGCAACTTCACCGAATTATATTTCAATTTGGCAGCGAAAATGAAACAGAAGCAGAGCAATACACAATGTGGGGCGTGGCCGGGGAAAAGATGTTAAAAACTTTTTGACAATTGACTTAAAAAGTTTCCTCAAGCTGGCAGAAATTGACTGCCTTTTTGTATACAAATAGGCCGAAATCATTCGGCCCACACACACATATGGAATTTTGAAGGAGAAAGGAGAAGGGGAAGGGGAAGGGGGAAAAGGGACGGAGAAAATGGTGCCGCGGCCATGAAGCGGAAGTAAACACATAAAACGGAAATGAAAATTCAATTATTTCGTTACGATTGTTCAACTTTTTGTTGTTTTCAGTGTGCCTTTCAGTTTGTACGAGTATGTGTGTTTGTGTGTGTGCTTGTGCTCCCATTTCGTGTGGCAGACGGATGCCAAAAAAAGTTTAAAATTAAGTTAACGTGCAACTCGCTTCGTGGGTCAGCACATGCAACTTTCCCTCGTTTCGGCCAAATTCAATTTTGGCTGGCACATTTTTTTATTTTTTGGGTCGTACGGATGGACCGAAACGAAAGGGCCGCAAATTTAAATGCGATTTTTAACAGTCGCTTCACGCACAATTAGCCTGTCGAATCGATTTTCGCTCGGAGCGATTTGAAACCCAAATGCAGTTAGTACAGTACGTTTCGTGATGCGCAGAAGACAGCTTCGTTTCCACCTCCTGATGACTGCCGTGGCCGTGGTCATAGTGCTAGTTACCAGAAATAAACTGGGGAAGGATCTTGACCTAATGCGATGGCTTAACACGGTCCACTCGATAACCGTTCGAGATACCTACGGAAGTCAGGTGCCACTCCAAAGTTTTGCCGGCCAAGTAATGCTCATCGTGAACATAGCATCCAGGTGGGATTATTGAATTTTTATTGTTTTTTAATCCTTTAAACAACTAACTAACAACTATGCAAGTTAAAAATTAAATTTAATTAACTGATGTGAAGGCCTTTTAAAACTTTAATATAGATAATTATTTATTTTAATATATTTGTTTATTTATTATATATATTTTCATTCCAGATGCGGTCTTACTACTTCCCAGTACGATGGCCTTCGCCAACTTGTGGAGAAATACGAGGACCGAGGATTGAGCGTTCTCAACTTTCCCTGCAACCAGTTTGGTGGTCAAATGCCGGAATCTGATGGCCAGGAGGTGCTGAACCATCTGCGCAGCCATGGAGCCAATATAGGACACCTGTTCGCCAAGATAGATGTTAAGGGACCCAAAGCAGATCCGCTCTACAAGCTGCTAACCCGCCAGAAGCCCGATATAGAGTGGAATTTTGTCAAGTTTTTGGTTGACCGCGAGGGGGCTATCTACAAAAGGTATGGCGCTGACTTAGAGCCAGTGGCTCTGGCTGATGACATAGAGCTGCTGCTCGGCAGATGAGTCCGAATAAATAAGGCAACGTGCGCTTTTCTGCTCAGTGGCTCTCATAACTGCGACAACGTCACGCCTTATCATTGGGGATTACCGCTGCTGATGCTCATGCCACATGCCAAGCGATTTCTTTCCGTCGCTTTTACCTGGTTTCACCTGTCACCTTCTCGCTGACTTCTGTCAGTTGCAAATGGCCAACTGCAGGGGTGAGAAGGGTGGAAAAAAGTGGAGGGCTTCAGAAAATGGGTGTGCAGGGTTGACCTTTTGGTCCGCTGCACTTGTCACTTCGCTTTATCAAATTGCAGTTAACGCTGCAACTCGGCGCACGTCACGTCAAGCATCCGCCCAGTGTGACACAATCGAGTGGGGGATATTGGATATAGAAAGGGCAAGGGCGCCCTATCGGATCTCATTCAACCTTGGGAAAAACTTTCTTGGAAACTGAAAGAGAACAACACAATACATTCAGTAAACGCTGTGAAATAACCATAGGCAAGTTCTGTAAATTATTTATAGAACAAGTTTTGTGTTTTGTGTTTCTTACACAGTGCCGAGGGATTTACAACCTTTAAAAATGTACAAGCAGCCCTGAAAAATGTATAGATTCCAGAAATAATTTAATATTCTTTTACTAAAAAAAGTTATAGTTCTTTGCCTTAAAAATCTAGTTTAGCCGTCTCCCAAAATGAAAAAAATTATGGAAAAAATGTTTTTTAAAGTTCAATGAAGTAACCATAAAACATTCTATTTTCCACAAAACGTTTAGGCAAGAACCATATCTTTTCTACAAACTTTGGAAATTCTCTTAATTATAGTTAACACAGTGCCGAGGGATTTACAACCTTTAAAAATGTACAAGCAGCCCTGAAAAATGTATAGATTCCAGAAATAATTTAATATTCTTTTACTAAAAAAGTTATAGTTCTTTGCCTTAAAAATCTAGTTTAGCCGTCTCCCAAAATGAAAAAAATTATGGAAAAAATGTTTTTTAAAGTTCAATGAAGTAAACATAAAACATTCTATTTTCCACAAAACGTTTAGGCAAGAACCATATCTTTTCTGCAAATTTTGGAAATTCTCTTAATTATAGTTAACTGCATTTAAATTTGTTTGTCGCAAGAATACCATTTCCACAGATGTTCGAAAAAACCTCAAAAATGTCTGTGCTTGTCTTGAAATTTTCGGAAAATGTGCAAATGCAGGGAGCTCGTGCATGGAATGCAGCTGGCGAAGGTCTGAGCGGAATTCGGCTAGCCAGGACAACTTCCTGGAATTCCACCTACGGCTTTCTGCAACCGCAACGAAGCCTGACTCCGTTTGGAGTGGATGCCTCGGCTTCAACCTGCCCTGATTCTGATTCTGATTCTGTTTCGGTTGCCACTCGTTGTTGGCATGCAAACAAGCTCTTTTCTGCCTGCTGCAGTATAAAAACGTGCCTGCACATTTGCCACATGCTTACGCCCCTCCAACTGTACGTGTGTGTGGCTTTCGTCCTCTGAGTTTGTGTTTGTATGGGTGTGTTTATGTATGTGTGTGTGTGTGTGTGCTTGTAGCGTTGACAGTAACCGAAATTGCCACAATTTGCGGCTGTGTACAATTTGGCCACTCATCAATCTGTGCGCATGTTAACCAAAAAACCATTACAAACAAGTCAGACAATATCATGAAAAGAGTGGGAAGAACACTTACATTTCCGGTTACGCATACATACATATATATATTTTCCCTTTATTCCATATTTAGTTTTTTTTTTATTTTTCTGCGTTTGGAGATGGAGCATCAGATGGGTAATTTTGTTTGATGAGCGCATTACGTTTGCATTTTATATTCCGGCTGCTGGGTCGTATGCGTGATAGCTTGCCGGGGAGGGCAGGGAAAGGAAAGTTATTACGTATACGCCGTGGAGGAGCCCGCTTTCACCTTTCACCCCCGAAAGCAAACCAATTTAATTTTTCAACAGGAACGTCGTCGTCGTCGACGGCGGCGGCTGTGCAAAAGCCTCAGCGAAAAAGTTGGTTTGTTAGTTGGTTTGGCATTTGTTCGGTTGCCTGAGTTGAAACTTAATTAACATTTGATTGATAAAGGTTGCACACACCGACTAACACAACAACTACACAAACACACACACACACACACACGGATAAGCCCCATTTCGCTCGTATCGGTGGATGTGGGTGTGGGTGTGTGCGTGAGATTGTTGTCTGCATGCAAATGAAAATTTTCAATGCCGGCGGCGCATTCTCCATTCTCCAGTGATTATTTATGCGTGTGTGTTTGAGTCAGCCTGTATGCGTGTTCGAAATTTTAATTAGTATTATAAATTATTGCCAACGGTGTAGTAATTAAATGTGTGTGTGCGTATGAGTGAGTGGGGCAGCGGAGAAGATAAAGCTGAATTTTAGGCAATTAAACTTGTATGACAGAAGCGTTCAACCCCACTCACCCCGAAATAACCCGCCCCAATAATCCACACTCATCCTCGCGAAATCTCTAATCGGGCTAATTCATTGTCTGATGCTGGCTAAATATTTCGTTTAAATTTGCATGCTAAAATCACCAAAATTTTGTGGCATTTGGCATTGATTCGCCTTTGATTTGATTTGGACAACGTCAATTGAATTTTTTCAATTTTTTTTTCTGCTTATTGCCATTGCTAAGCAGCTTAGCTCTTTCCACGCCCCCTTTTCCCACGCCCTTTTGTCACATGTGCCTCTGCAGTGGGAATTGCATTTTTCTTATCGCTTTTGCTAGCCATGCAAATGGCAAATCGCAAACGGCAGATGGCAGAGAGCGGGCAAAAAGGACTCGCAGGACGAGGATAGGGAAGATAGAATGACACAAAGGCCACAAGAAAAGCAAAGAGCCAACCGAGCACTGAATTCAATTTGTGCAGTAAAAGTACTGCAAAATGAACAGAGTTTCGCCAGCAAAACCTGATCTGGATAAGCAATGTGAATTCGAAGCTCGATTTCAATCATCATTTGACTCACTTTATCATATTAAAAATTTATTGATATTCGCCCAAAAGACCCATAAAATACTTCAACACATTTGCCCCAAAAAGAGGCAGAAAAAAAGCGAAGAAGTCAAAGTCGAACGAAAAACAAAAAGCTCAACGTACGAAAAGGAAAATTCAATAAATTGTTTGGCTCGACATAAAATAATGCTGCATTATAGACTTCAGCCGCCCGCGGCAAAGTAACCGCCAAATGTTGCCCTGGAGAGCAACCAGCAAACACAACAATAATGACAACAACAACAAGAAGAATAACAACACGGAATTGTTGGGCATATAACAACCTTGAATGTCCTATATCCTAGGTGAGGATACATTAGCCAGGTGACTTTGTTGAAAATATATAAATTTATACTTTTTAATGATATAAATATTGGTAATTAACAGTTTTTGAAAATGTCGAATTGTCAAATGTTTTATTCTAAAACCTGCAAGATAATTACCTTATCAAGTATTCTAATTAAAATTTACAAAGCCTATCATTGATTTAATAATAGTTATTCAATTTTCACTTTGTTCAATTCAAATTTTAGTTTATTCATTGTTCATAATATAGAATATTTTCTGCAAAACTTTTCCGAAAACAAAACACTGGCAGTGCTTTTGTTGAATGTATATATTTTAAACAATTGAAAAGAAATGGCTTGTTTACTTTCCAACGTAAACAGAGAGCAAATCATCGCTTTTTGGGGTACCAAAAATGTTTAAATTTTAAACGAACCGAGAAGAGTGTGCCAGCATCGTTGGATATACCTCCGAATTTGGCTTACGGGTAATTCAAATTGTCGCCGACGAAACAATGACAGTGTCAGATGGAGAATGTCGGATCCGGAGACTTGAGACTCCGACTCCGACTCCGACTGAGGGACCCCTTTACGAATCGATTGCTATTTATGTTTTATGAGACGTAAAATGATTGAGCCAAACGGAAGGCGGCAATCCAAAAAATGCCAAATAAAAGCGGGTGGGCACAAGGGAGCGGGGCTGAAGAGGGGGTGGTGTGTAGGGGGTGGCGGGTGGTAGGAGGTGGATGAAAGTGGGCCCGAGACAGCTGCAAAAGTTTATCGCCAAGGCAGACCGCATTAAATGCGGGACACACGCACATTTACGCATTTCGACGTCAGATAAAGGCGTACGTTTATGCCATAGTGTGCAATGCTTTGGGAGGATGTCCGCTATCAGGAAAAGCGTTTGCCTGACGTTGATGGAGGACAGCGGGGTGAAGGGAATGGGGTGGAACAAAGGGGGTGGGTGAAAAAGCGTGTAAATTACAGCCGCCAGTTTTTCTCGTTTTTCGGCTCCTGCTCTTTGTGTATATCTTGAAAAGTTTGGCGTGTGTTGTTGTCATGACGGCTATCATCTTAACTTGATGTGGTGTTAAGCATTGTTCGTGTTGTTGTTGCACTCGAAATGATGAACTGACAGATTTTCCTCTCTCTTTACGACTCTATGTATGTTTAGTGTGTGTGTGTGGGTGTAAGGGGCTTTCTAAAAGTTGCTTAAATGCGCACTACGACAATAATCCCCGAAATTGTAATTGAAAATTCCATCGCACTAATTAATCTTAATTAGTCACTTCCTCCTTGTCCGCATTCATCGATCAAGCAAATTCCCCGAACACTGAATCACATACATATATAGTGGGTTATTGTAGCGCTAATGACTAAATAATTGATCGGAAAGTAATCCCGACTGAGTGTAGAAGAAGAACTTCCAGCCGTAATGCAGCTTTTCAATTTGCTAGACCAAAAATGGCGCTAAGCGGCTTACTGTCGCATGTGTGAGTGTCCCTACGTGTGTGTTTGTTCGTGTATATTCGGGTAAGTGAATAAAAATCTTTTTGCACAATTCATTAAACGCAAATTATGCCCTAGAGATGGTGCTGCAATGTGCCGGTCTGGCTCCCTTTTTTAGGGTATTTGTTTGCGCAGCACACGCGAGGCATGCGAATTTAATATGAACTCGCACCGAAGGCAGAATCCCAAAAAGGATTCACGCACACATGCAAAGCGGCACTCGGTCGGCGAACGATGGAGAGACAATGAACCCGAAGGACACGACTGAATCAAGGTAATAAAGCGAGCCTCCTTTTTGCACCACTCGCCACTTGTTGTTGTGGCGGCCAACAAAACTTTAGCCCGGTGGCGCCGGAAACGGTCACGATATAGATAAATACAAGTTGACAGCACAATTTATTGTCACACTTAGCGCCCGGCAAATGCCTTTGTTATGTAAAAGAGCCATCGCCGAATGGGCAACGGGGCGGATGCTTTTTGGCATTGCGTATACGCACCATCGGCAGCAAGTTTAAAGCGCATTCGCATTGACGTCACGTTGCAGGCATCTGTGCGTTTGTGTATGTTTGTGTGTATGTGTGCGTGAGTTGATTTGAGCACCAGCAGGTAGAAATGCTACAGGAGAATGCACTTCGAAAATTATATTGCTATTATAATCAATTAATATTGATTTACTCTATCGTGAATTAATTTAAATATCTTAACTTTATTACAAGATTTTAGGCAATGAAAAATGTTTTTTTTTTAAATATAATATACATTAGTAAATAAAATACATGCGGGTCTAATTAATTTGCATAAATATTTTCATAACACCAAAAGGTTTTGTAGGGTCTTAAAAATTGTAGTGATATACGAGAGTTGGAATTTTGAATTCGTCCACAAAGCGTGCACTTAAAAGCCAGAAACAACAATTTGTAACAAGTTTTTCTTTAATGACTTTGAAAAACAAAGTTTTGTTCGTAACCACAGGTACTATAAGCCGCATATAATAGATTTTCTTCCTTCCCTTATTTTTATTGCGTGGGAAAATGTTACTTTTTGGAATAACCCCTTAGAGGGTTAGAATTACTTTAGAGTGTCACTTTTTTTCCTGTGTTTCGATGGCTAGTGCCATTGTTCCCGGCGTGCAGTGAGCACGTGCTGGGGATAAGCAGTCGGGCATCGTCTGAAGGACACGCATCCCTGCTCCGATTTTCCCAGCGCCTGAGTTTTGTGAGTGTGAGAGTGGGTGTGCGAATCGTTTTATTGCAGGATGGCCATGCAATATGTATAAGCTGATTGCTGGCAGTCATAGCCGGGCAGCAAACAACCGACACAATTACGCCGGCAATCTTAAACAATCATTGACAGCCTCCTCGTGCACAACTATTTTCCAGCAGGTACGGATAGCCGCTTTCACCTTTTCGCCGCATCGCCTTTCTCGATTGTCTTTGCATGTCAAAGGAGCAGTTGTTGTGTGGCCTGCCCCAAAGATAAAGCTCAAATTGAAATTCCAATCGGGTGCTCCACTCGGGCTTTTGCCATGCCATGGGTTGCTTTTTTATTCGCCTTCTGTTTTGGCCCGGTCGTTGTTCTTGTTTATTGAAACAACGGAGCAACAATAAATTTTGCAGCGCATACTTCAAATGTCAAATGCGGCAGCGATAAAAATTTCTTTATTGTACGGCAACCGAACACTAACGCACATACGATAACACACTCACACACACACACACACACATAAAGATGGGCAGGAGCTGAGGCCCAATGCATTCCGCTTTTGGCCAACTGGAACCTCGGACTCCTCGAACTGTTTGGCTTTGACAGTTTTTGCAATTTATATTTATTTCGAGGGCTGCACAAACCATCGGATACGCATAAGTAAACCAACCCATCCCACCCATCGACCGACCCTGCATAAATTAAGATAATCGCGTTTAGTTTACCCCGACTTTGGATTCGACTTCAGCTTCGGCTGTCAGATACTTGGCTGAATAATTTATGGCCACGTGAAGTGGCGAAACCTTTCAACCCGCCAGGACTTTAATTTTGTGTAATTGAACTCCAGCTGCGGTATTCCCATAATCAATGTTGACATCTTCAATGGGTTGATGGAGAGCTGTTCGCTTAATGAGTTAATGGTACACAACGAAAAACAGGGTCTAATTAAATAAAACATTAATAAAAAATTCAGAATTAACTCTAGAACTTTTTTCAATAAGTAAGAAATTCTAGTGCTCTAAACCTAGAAAACTTCTGTAAAACAAATTTACTCTCTTTCAGTTTCCAATAATTGACAGTAAACTAAATCGGCCCGCCATTAAACCCCAATGGAACTGAACTCTCCGCTCGATCATTGAATTGCCATTTCAAACTGAAACTTCTTGGCACTATCCACAGCAGTTGGGATTATTTGCATAAGTATGTCGACTTCATTGCAGCACGTGCTGGCAATGCTTAAGAACACATTGTGGTCTCTGCTCCTTTGACCTTTGCCAAAAAAGCAGGTCCTTGGAATCGGTCTGGTTATTATTTTAATGGCCATTTGAAGTGGCTGCTGTTGTTGCTATTGGCATTGACCAGGCCATGATTTTAATGCCAATTTAATATAATTTTTATGCTCGGCCCTTGGCCAAGCTCTAAATACGTGCCAAACGGAACCGAATCGAATCGCATCGAAATTGCCGCAATGATTTGGCGTATTTACTCGTGAGTCCAAAGAACAGAGCATATCATGCTGGGGATATTAAACGGAAATCGATCGATGCTTTTTTGGGCATGGGCTTGAGGAATGAAGCCAGACTGACATTCGGTCAGTTCAGATTTTGTTTCCTCGTTTTTCCGAAAATCAAATTAAATCCACGCTTTCGAGCGTTCGAAATTTATGCAAGAAAATAATTTCCCACAGCCCGGCAGCTCAGTCACAATAATTGAAGTCAAACATAAGTTGTCCCTTTTTGCCGTTTTGGCCAAACCTAATTAAACGCAGCTAAAAAAAAACCGCTGACTCGTTCAAGAAGGCGAGTGCAAATTGACAAACTTTTTCGAAAACTTTTTGAGTGGCAACTGGTGGGGAATACAACATGTGGAAAGAGTATTTTTTTAATTAAAATTTTCTCACATAAGGGAAATGCGGCTGATGGGGCTGCCACTTGTACTTAGTTTTCACTGTAATTAGCGGAGTTGTTACCTCAATTCAACAGCAGTTCTCTACCTCTCATTAGCATACTTTCCCTTAATTGTAGAGAAAAATTGCCTCTGGCAACGGAGTTTATTTTGCATGCCGTTTACCTCAGACTACAAACATTTTATCATCGGTCTAATTAATCAGCTTTAAACAGATGCCTTTGTATTTCATTCAAACAAATTTCTTGCATATATAAATTTTATTTATAATCTCTTTAAAATTATAAAATATTATTAGAAATTATATTTTTATATTTTTATTTTATACTAGTTTTGTTAAATGGTTGTAATATTAGCTTCACCAAGAGAAAATAAGCATTATTTAACGCAAAAATAGGATCAAGTTGTTAATGTTGGGATAATTTTTCTGTAATGAAAATGTTTTCCTCAAACAATCTGAACTCTGAGACTCTTGACTTCGTATGGAGGTGGTTTTGAATCCTCTACGGCCATAGGCTCACACATTTTATTTTTTTCTTCTTCTTTTGGAGATTCATTTGTCTGCTCATTATAGACTTTGTAAGTTAAAGCTGCCATGATTGCATTAACAACTGAAGAAAAATAATGTATTAATGTATATTATAAATTTCATTATTTAAAACAAGGTTCTTTGTACTTACAGAAGTATATATAATAAAATGACAAAATATCATACCAGCCATGAATTATTTCAGCGATCAATATTACATTTAAAACCACAGCTGCCATAAGATAAATTAAAATAATATTTGGTCTGTGTTCTTTTTTCGCCATAAAAACTCCGAAAAGTAGAATTCCTGAAGCGTTTATGACAAGAGATCTTCCATAGTTTTCCATTGCATTTTTTGCTGAAATAGAATATGTCATATTGTAACTATTTCATTAGGTAGATCCTTCACCTGATGGAAATATGAAATAGGGATTCGCGCCCACGAAAATGTGGACCAGTCCGAAGGTCAATAGTAGTATTTTTCCTCTAAGCAACATTGCGTTCCAGCAGTTCGATTTCAACTGAATTACTGAGATGCCTCTCCTCATCGCTTAAGCATTTTGTGTGTTTATATTACCAAAATAAACACATGCATGATTTGTGTAAACAGAGAGTGTTGAACTAGCTCTTCAATAGGCTTGATTTATTTTCTTAACTCGTTTGACACCAAACAAAAAAGGACAACAACCTATGAAAAGTTTATGAAACAAAATGAATGCATAACTAATTTGACGGCACACACTTGCTCACACATTGTGCATTCATGTTTATTTGATGGATGAACTTTTCGACACTTTGTGCATTAGAAAGTTTTACTAGTTTGGACTTTAGTGGCAATTATATTTACATTTAACCAACTCTGGCTCTGAGCACCTAAGTTTTTCGGCTTTGACGCCGGGCTTAAGCAGGTGCCGGTTGCAAAGATTCCTGGGCTAAAAACTTTTCCAACTTTGAGTTTTTAATTAGAATTTGTTTCCACCACCGGAACTCTTACGTTTCTGAAAAACCCATAGCCATGCGGCAATGCATCAAAAAAAAAAATAATAAATAAAATACTTTTTCGGCATTCCTTCCAAAAATTGAGTGGATAATTTATGAATATTTTGTAATTAACAGGCAAGAAATTTATCATAAATTTTCATATAATTACATTTTTATGGCATCAAGTTTTGGCTTCATTCCTCATAGCCATTATAAATAAACGTGACGGTTGAGTGTTTGGGAAAATATGAACTCAGAGGGTGAAGTTTTTTCGCGATGTTGGGCATTTAAAGCTCCGCGCTTTTACCTTTATTCATTTGGCAGGGTATTTTTATATTGCTAAAGAAATATTGTGTTTGCGCTAGCTTTTACTTGCTCTTATGTTCACCCAAGCTGTTTGATATTTCTTTTTAGTTGGGCATATTATTAGATTCAAAAAAAAAAAATAAATTTAATTTGTTTGCAAGAAACAAAATCCATTTGTTGTATTTACTTCTGTAAGTAAATAATAAAAATAATTTATTATCTAAGAAGTAGTCAATTGGATTAAGTAATAAAAAAAAATTACCAATTTTTAATTAATTTATTATTTACTTGACTTTAAGTGGGAATTTTATAGTCTTAACCATTCTTGTCTCTTCATTTGTACGAATCTCATTGTGCTTTCCCCGTTTGATTGTGTATTAATTCTCAGTTTATTAAGCGTAAATATGAAAATTGCCTAGAACTTTGACCATTAGCAGAGATCTGTGCTTCTCAGATGATTCACGAGGTCACAGCTGAGGCCACGCCCTTATTCCAAAGATACAGATTTTTCAGCAAAGTTGGCCCTGTGAAAATCTCAAGCTGAGTGCGGCGAAATGTTGCTCATTTATTTCATTTAAATGCGCATTTAAATCTATTTAAAACTCCACATGAGCCAGTCACAAAGCTACGCGGCACAGAAGAAGCGAAATAAAGGGCAAATAAAAGGCAACGGGGCAGGACAACAGAGCCTGACAGGAGCTGAGGGATTCCCAGGCACCCACTTCGTGCCCCATCTCTCCGGCTTTCCCGCTTTCCCGCTTTTCCACTTTCCCACTTTCCCGCTTTCCCACTCAGCATGATTTAACGATAATGAAGGTATTTACGAGTTCAGCCTTAGCCTGGGACTTGGGCCATGGCTTTTTTTCCGGGGCAAAAGCAAAACTCATCATAATCCAGCGCCAGCAAAAGGTTATCCAAAACACACAGCGGCACATTTGGGGACTTGTATCTACGTGTGTCCCGGCACTTGTGAGATGTTCTTGCCAAAACTTTTTTTGTTGACGCCGTTGATAAGGACAACAACTACTCAAAGCCGCCAGCTGAGCCCGAATCCTGAATCCCAACCCGTAAGCGTTGTGTATATTTATGGATTTAGGCGATGAAGGTGGCTCAAAAAATCGCACATTGCTTGCCAATAAAACTCAATTTGCCATAAAATTGTTTCACAGTCAACATAATTACAACAGCTAAAGACGAGCATAAATTTGATTTTCCAATTTACGATTAGGCAGAGCTCCTTGTTCCATTTTCAGTGCCATTTAATATCGCCGGGCGATGAATGCAAAATGTACACAAAAATATTAATATCTGAGCGAGGCAAATTTAATTTCTTTTCTAGGGCAAACACCTTTCGTTTATCGCCTCTTCCCTCTCGCTCGCACCGTGCTCCATTTCGCTCCCTGCTTTCCACTCCTTTCCACTCACTTATATGCATTTTTTATTACACTGCCTGCTCCCACCGGAAATCCACTTGCCACTGCGCGGATTTTATTGTCCTGCTCAAGGCTGATACTGCCACCTGGAAAATGGGAGGGGCGGCCCAGAACTTAGTGCTAGTTAGTGGGGACAAAGGCGGCTTAACCTGGCCGAAATCGCCTTACGCCGCGGTCGATTTTAGGTGTCAAACAGTGAAAAATATAGAAGTTCAGTGAATGATTTAAATAATACATTTTATTATCTATTTCATATTAATAGGTTTTTTGAATGTTTTTATACTTTAAAAATCAACCATAGATAAAATAAAGTTTTTTTAATATTTAGGACTTTTTGACCAAACTTTACTTTTACAAACTTTCTGAATACTTTTAATGTAAAGAATTTTCTACAAAGACACTTTTTAAGTTTCTTTATTGATTTATTTTTATTTAAGTATTTTTGGGGATTTTCTAACCAAATCCTCAAACACATACCATGTTTTCCACAGTGCACTTTTCAGTTGCATTGAGTGAAATTCGTCACAAAATTTGTCGCCAGGGAGAACTTTTGAATTATGAAAGGAAACCCAAGGAAGCTTGCTGTGCGGGAGGCCGAGTTAATTGCAAGTCCTTGAGATGCATTCGGAATCGAAGTTTCCTTTTGCCGTTAAGTATAGTGGAAGTGTGGAAGAAAACCAGCTAAATGGAATGGAATGGAAGTGCCAGCCTTTCAAGCAAGCGACACGGCAAAGACAATGGCTCTCTTACGGCTCTTAGCCCGCTGGCTGTTGGCCAAAATGCATTTGGGCAAGGAAATCCCCCTGCTGATTGCCGCTGCTTTGTGGTGGATCCCCACAGCTTGCTGGCATTATCCGAATAATCGCAATCACCAGAAAGATGCAGCTTGGTGCAGCGGCGTTGCAGCGGCGTTGCAGCAGCAGCACCAGCATACGTTGCGTATACGCAACGGAATGCCTTGGAAAATGCCTGAAAGGCATTTCATTTGCGCCCCCGTTTGTGTTGCACATTTTCAATTATAATTATTAACGGATCGCTGTTTGACTTTGGCTTCGTCGGGGGAATTACTTGCATTTGCATTGTGTGTTTTCTCTGTTGGTTTTCATTTTTTTTTTTTTTTTGTATTTTTTTGTTGCCTGGCTCTTTGGCGAAATCACCTGAGTAATGCACTTGATGCTTGCGCAATTTCCCTCCTGCATTGTCCTTGCGCGTTCTGCATTATTTTTTCTACTCCCACAGCCGATTGTTGTTGTTGTTATTATTATTGCTGTTGTTGTTGTTTAAAGTGGTTGTTGCTGGGGCTAGGCACTTGTAGTTGCGATTGCAGCTTTCTCCCCATTTCGCCAAAGGCAACTTTTAACATTTAATGATGCTGCTTTGTATTTTAATACGCTTTGCCTGCTTGGCATGCTCATGCCACCGCCCACAGCACCCAGCATCCAGACCACCTGCCCCTTTTTTTTTTTTTTCACCATGTTACCGCATCCGCTCCCCCCACCCTTCCACCTCGCAACTCCCCCCTCTTCTGCTCCTCAGCCAGCACGTGCCATAAGCAGCGCTTTGAAAACTTTTAAGTAGACAAGCAATGTCCTCCGCGCCGACGTTTTCCCCCTCGTCCTTTCAACATCTTCTATTACTTGGCCTGCCTTTTGCGCTTTAAGTTGTCTGCTCAGTTCCAATTTTTCCAGCCGCCTGCCAAGGTGTTTGAAGCAATTTGCGTCGCCCGTCTCGGGTTGCAGTTGTCTGTCCGGCTCCATGGCTCCATGGCTCGGTTCTCTCTCTCTCTCTTTTCGTCCTGGCCACGTCCTTGACAGCAACTCTTCGGCTCGTTCGCCCCTCCACCGATCCACCCATCCATCCATCTTTCTTCGCAGCGTGCGGTGTGCAGATTGTGCCAATTTCACCTGTTGCCTGTGGGGCGACCCGGGCATAAAGACACTTGCAAAAAAAGATGAATATTAAATGGTCTTGATGAGTTTAAAAATACAGAGGAGACTTTTACAGAATAAATAAGATAGCTAGTCTGTCCCTATACAATATAATCAGTTTACGAAACAATATGGCATTAAATAATCACGATATCTATATAGAATTGGATGTCCACTTAACAAGAGACATTGATGATTGGATTTTTTACTCAAACTGCCAGAAAGCTTAAATAAGTTTCAAATCGAGTATACAAAAAATTCAGCTTTAATATCTTCTAAAAATGTTTCGGATTTTTCAATGCCATCCATTTGTCTTTTTTTATGGTTTCTGCGTACAAATTATTAAGATGTAATTAATAAAGCATTTGATTTTCTTTCAGTGTATCCCCTTCAGTGGTTTCGAAATCGGAAAGTTTTGCGGCGGCTTTTGCGCGACTCTGAACCTTCCTAAGGAGGTAAATTCGGAGTATTAGTGGTTAAGGGGTTTTGGCACTCGGTCGGAAATGAGGTGTATGTGCCGCGCCTCCTTTTAATGCAATTCCAATTTAAGTTGGCCGCAGTTTGAATGCATTTCGAATTGCGCTCGTCCCAATGAAACGAAACGAAACGAGATGAATCGAAACGAAACGTTGCTGCGCAAAATGAATGGAAACTTTCTGCCACTTTCCAAATCACAAAGTAATTGCAATTCGAAGAAGAATTGGGTAACAATTTACGAAATTAAGTTTCAACAAAGTTTCGCCGAAAGGTTTAATGCGCCCGCTGACGTGGGCCAAGAAAAACTTGTCCGGGCTTTGTAACTTCCGCAGAGGACTGAAAGGCACTAACTTACTCCACCCATCCAACTAACTGCCTTTCCAAAGTGGG